TCAAGAAAGGTAATTTTTGAAGAAAGGTAATTTGTGAATTATGCGACAAAAACTCATTAAAGAACACAATCGCCTCAAAGGAACAACATTTATTTGCAAAGCCGTCGCCATAATGCAGAAATGTCCAAATTCATTATTATTGAAAACATTGCCATGTTAATTTTGAGATAAAGTTAGAAAATAGGCATTACATGAAATAAATATATTAAAAATATTTTAAAGTTGTGACGATTTGTGAAGCTTACTTCAAACATGGGATTTCAAGAGACTCTCAGTGTCCGGTTAGTTATGTATTATGGATACACCACATTGATATTCTGTTATCATACCCTGACATGTGAAACTGATGTAAAGCAGTTTTGTAATATGTAGTTGTAGTTTGTAGTTTTTTGTACACTGTAGTGCCTGATATGTCATTTACATGACATGGTTATTGAGTCAATAAAAGATATATATCATAACTCAATAAAGCCCACTCAAATTGTACAAGATATTGTAATCTTTGTATGCCATCTTTTTTCCCAAATTTATATACATATATTTCTGAGGAACATTTTGAATTCAGATCTTATAAAAATAGAAGATGAAGTCTTCCTCAAGATTATCTGATATGACCTTGTCTGCAGAGTAAATTGTCTCCCTTATTTAGCATGATCCCCATAATATAAATATTTTCTACAAGAAACATTCTGTAAATGAACTTGCTTCCCCTCAGTAGAGGGGTTTGCCTCCACCAGATCAATACTTGCCTCTTCATTAATTCATTAGTTTAAATGATTACTTATTGTAAAGGGCTATATAAGATATAGCCTATTGGTTCTGGGCCGATATAAAGATGGCAGCACCAAAAAGAATCAAGTATTATCTTTTTATCGATTACCATGCCATCTTTATTTAAATTTCTATCGACCTTAGCCTTTGATATAGCCCCTCCCTCCCAAAATCTTCAAAAAGTAATCCAATGTTTCCTTGCAATTTGAAGATCTAAATTCAAAGGAGATCGTCTCCTATTTAAATGTTTCACGCGCAAGATAATCTTTGAAATCGAAGAATTGGACTAAAATGAACTCGGAACTTATGAATTCTTAAAGAAAATAGACACATGGGCTTTCAAGACAATAGTTTAAAGCCCATGATAGACACTAGATACGCCATTTGATCAAAGTTATCTTACAAATAAGTTCTAAAAAAGATACTCTTTTACGAAGTTTTATTACTATTTTTCATTCTAAATTTTCAAAGATGTGAAATAGTGGCAAGGATTTCAATGCCTTTCATTAAATGATTCTTTAGTTTGATAGGCTGTACTTGGTTGCTGTGGTGAAAAAAAATTGGCAGCAAAATATTTACCAGAAACAAAGCACTCTAAAGTTCTTTTTGCAGAAATATATATTTCTTATTTCATATTTTTCGATTATTTACATAATATGTACATGTTATACCCACTTGTAATACAAATACATATCCTTTCTTATATATTTACATCAACCTTACATGCATTTTGGAAAACATTTTATTACATACTCTTAATGGAATTACATACATTTACATGTACACATTGTTTCTTTGCTCAACTATTCTATTCACATAAAAAATAACTACATGATTTTTAGAAAAAATGACAAATACCTTACAGCATGGTCATTGTAAGTAATTTGCCCTGCAACAGCTTAAAGACTACAATATTCAATCCTACTCAATTATGAACTGAAAAAATTAACAAGACTAAATTGCACCAACCTAAAACATGAAAACTATTCATTTTTCAATATTTAAATGCTTAAATACTTAAAAAAACTCTAAATATAAAACACATTAACATCTAAAATACACACATATTGCACCTTGGAAAACCTTCGATTTTACAATTGAATTAAGATGATCATAAGATACAGAAAAACGTTGACAGTCAAAATGTGAACACCACTGTCAAACTTTTGCTGTATACTATAAATCTGATTCAATTGTACAATTCTGAAGGTTCCTGAGGTACAACTGAATTAGGAGATTTATAGTATAGCAGCAAAACTTTGACAAGGAACATCTTTCTGTTTCCATTATATTTATTTCCCATTAATGCGACTTTTTTGTTTCATTTTATTCCTTTTGGATCCAATGTTTTGAATTTCAAAGTTTGTATTATAACATGTAAACAGCTTTCTGCTTCCATTCTATTTATTTCCCATTAATGGAACTTCATGTTGTTCCATTTTATTCCCTTTGGGTCTAATATTTAGAAAGTTTTTCAAAGTTCATATTATGAGCATCACTTCCACTGGTGCCAGCCAGCAATGTTCTGTGGTGACATGTTCTGTGGTGACATGTTCTGTTGTGACATGTTTCAATAGTTTCATTCTGATTTTTTTCCCAAAATAAGTATTTAATCTAATATCACAATCCACACTCTCGGTAATATTTTTTCACAATAAACAATAAGTTATGAGTAAAATATCATACAACAATTATCAATAATATAAAACAAACAGAATAGATTTTCAATATCAATATCTAATTCACTAAAATCTTTGTAACATAAAACTCAGAGACATTAATATTCAATTGCTATTTTTGCAATTGATGAAAAAATTGTAAATTGTAAACTTTTTCGAAGCTTATTGTTAACTTGTTTCTATCCCTTCTAGTACCTTAAAGGTGAATTTTTACCATTTTCTAAACTTTCCATGGGGCCTTTAACTTCTTTTTCCAATAGTGTTTTTTGAATGCCATTACTAGGAGGTGTAGAGCATTTAAGCATTTCTATGTTATATAATTTCACAAAACATTATGTTCTTAATGTAAACAGAACCTCTGTAAATGGAATATCTCCTATTTGTAAAAAACTTATTCTGAAAAAAAGTTATGTCTAAAAACTTTTAACAAATGTCTAGAAAAGAGAAAAACTATAAACAAAAAAACTTAGAAGATTTTTATAGCAAACTAGACGGTAGAATTAGACCTATTTTCAAAGAGGACTTGATAAACTTACAGACATATAAACAGTTTGCATACCATATACAGTAAACTCTGTGTAGCACCTCTGTAAGTGGTGCATCTACATAAATGGAACACATTTCAAAGTCCCTGGCCCATGTTTATAGTCTAGCTCAAAGATGCTGTGACCCCCCCCCCCCTCGTCTACTAGACACCTTCACACAGAGGTGGGGAGGTGTTCAGGGGGAGGGGTCACAAGGTCTTGTAGACTACAATGTTTATAATGTAAACTGAACCTCTGTAAGTGGAACATCTACTTGTTGACAACTTATTTTGAGGTACCACTTGTGTTCCATTTAGGTTTTTACATGGTCAAATTTACAATTTTTCCCCATAATATATGATTCCCATCTAAAGAAGGATATTGAACCGGAAGGGGACATATAAATGATCTCAGAAAAATGGTACATTTTCAAGTCCACTAGACATGCACATAATCCAAAATGAAAAAATGAAATTTGTTCATCATGACAAAAAATTATACATTATAGTCGGTAAAGCACCTTGGATGGAAGTTAGTGAATCACAAAAGTTTCAAAAAAAACATATAACATCACATAGATTCCATTTTTACTCAGAGATCGCCCGAAAGTTCAGCCATCACCAAGGAGAATGTGAAGGTAGCCAGTTTCCATAGTGACCAATTTTCATGACTTAAGGTGCAGACTCCCTTGGGCAACATTTGGCCTGAAATTCTTTATATAGTAATCTCAGCAGCAACTGGAATTTGAAAGAATAAAAATACAATTACAGCAAAGCACACAGAAAAGTCTGAAATATCCTAAAAAACACTATATTGAATCATAGATAAACTCATATAAGGTCACATTTCAAAATATCCCTTAAATAAATGCAAAAAAAGATTGAAATGCCCATATACTTTACAATCATAATTTGTCATTACTTTTTTACTAAAATTGTGAAAACAGGGTAGAATCTTCAAATAAGTTGTACCAACTTTAATATCAGTAAACCCTTTCCACCTAGTTTAACTAGCCCATGTTATCTAAATTCCTAAATATGTGGCATTTACAAATCATTCACCCTAAAATTCAAATAAACTCAGATATGTAACTTACACAATATTTTTTAAAATTATCAAAGCTAGAAACAAATCACCCAGTAAGCAGTACAAGTTACAAACTGAAACAAGGCATTAAACACGCAAAGTCTCACCACCTGCCATTTGTCACAGACGTGGAATGCATGACACTAACAGCCATCACAAAATAAGTTTGAGACCATAACATAATGTCCGACATAAAATGTACTTGCACCTTTTTCACTTTTAAAATTCATAATCTTCATGAACAGTTTGTTCAAACTTCAATAATTACAGGAAAGAGGGTTCACATTCAGGACTACTGAATGATTGTGTAAGTTATAAATCAATAAAAATAATATTTTAGGGTTATTCCAGATAAGAATTACACCAATTATCCCTTTGATTTAAATGCATTTTTCATCTTCACTGAACATACCAATAAAAATTTATCTAACATTACTTCGTCAGAGAATAAGAAAATGTTTTGTACTTAAATTAAAATAGAGTACTAATTTACATCAATCTTCGACCAGTCAAGTACTGAGATCCAGTACTGTAAATGACAAACACAACAAACATCGTAACCACTATGAGGATCATAATAGCGATATGTTTGATTGCATTACACCAATTTATTGGTCCGATTGCTGCAAGTGAACCTACCAAAAGTGCAGCAATATCTGCAGCTATTAACATATAGAAGACATTATGCCATCCTGTTGGGTTGATTAGGCCTGTTAGAAGGGGCCCTAAAGCGGCACCTGGAAGACACAATTGTGAGGCACATTGTACATATGTGTTCTTATGTATGTTTTTTTTACCTTAACAAAAGAATGTTGGTGATTTTATTTGTTAACTTTTTGTAGATATATGATTAGGAACAATTAAACATTAAACATCTCTGAAATTCTAAATACATAAGGTACAACGTACTAAACATTATGAGTACATTATGTATTTTGATTATCACCAAAGCAGGCGATGTGTACCACAAATAGAAAATGCATCCCATTTCTCTGTTGGACTCTTGTCGTTTTATCAATTCTACTTCAGGGACCTACCCATTGAGCCAGTGCCATCTATAATTGCAGTGACAGTTGCTAGGGCATGTGAATTTCCACGTAAACTTTGGTGCGTTCCAAGGTCAGCTGAAACAGCCGTCGTGATGAGAGCATATGGACCATTAACCAGGCTACCTGTGATCAGCAGTAGCAGAATGTTTGCTAAATTACTAACACTAGCATATGTCTCATAAATAAACATCTGGAATGAAAATAAGAAACTTGCTTATACAGTTATAAAGCTAACTTTTTAAATCCAGCCATTACAAAAGGTCGAGTGAGGATTCTTATTATATAACTCAGATATAGAGGTTCTTATATGAGTACCTGTGCAAGATCGTCCATTCTTGATGAGCTTTGATAATTCTTCTTTATCAAGTCAAAGACGAGATAAAGAAACATTATCAAAGCGAGTCAAGAATGGACGATATTGCACAGGTACGAGTACAAGAAAGTTTTTCTCATATGACTCTGTATTATGCCATATTTTCACCATTTTATCATAAAACTGAGTGAAAAATAGCTTCAAATTAATTGAACTTCATCTTTCAATTGTTATGACGTCATAACAATATTGAAGAAAATACATAGATACACGTGGCAACAAAGCTCCATTGTTATGACGTCACAGCTTAGTTGTGAAGAGTTAGCTTGGATACTCATAGAAACGGTGTGTCCGTTGTCATGTTGTTGATGTTTATAGACCAATGATGTCACAAGTAAATCTCATCTTGCACGTGTGACTTTTTAGGATGAAAGATGGCAATATCTTGCATGGGGTAAAGATGGCTGTATCTTTGTTAGTCATATGAGAAATAGAGGTTCTTATATGAGTACCTGTGCAAGATCGTCCATTCTTGATGAGCTTTGATAATTCTTCTTTATCGAGTCGCAGACGAGATAAAGAAACATTATCAAAGCAAGTCAAGAATGGACGATATTGCACAGGTACGAGTACAAGAAAGTTTTTCTCATATGACTCTGTATTATGCTTTATTTTCACGTTTTCATGACAAAACTGGGTGCAAAATAGCTTCAGATTAATGGAACTTCATCTTTCAATTGTTATGACGTCATAACAATATTGTAGAAAATACATGGATACACGAGGCAACAAAGCTGTTGTTATGACGTCACAGCTTAGTTTTGTAGAACGAGCATGGATACTCTTAGCAACGGTGTATTTCTTGCTATGTTGTTGATGTTTATAGACCAGTGATGTCACAAGTAAATCTCATCTTACACGTGTGACTTTTTAGGATGAAAGATGGCAATATCTTGCATGGGGTAAAGATGGTTGTATCTTGGTTAGTCATATGAGAAAACTCTATCATGTCTAGAACTATAGTATTATCTTTACCAAGTCTTGACATTTAACTCTGTGCTATGATTTAAGAAACTAAATGCATCATACACTGGATATGTGATTATTTAACATTACAAATTACTGCAGCCATATTAAGATTGTAATTATGGTATCCAATAAAAAATTAACTTGCGTTTCTAAATTTTATAGAAATACATGAACCAACGTATTAGTACAGGGAACTTCATTGAAATTGCAGAGAGAAAATGCATGTAACTGGCATGACCTAGTAGAAATTGAGGTTTGGATTAAACTTACGGCAGGTGCTGCAAATGCTAACATTACTACACAGGTTGTGGCTTTCGCTCCAGTCAAATCTGATACCACACCAGCCAAAATACCCCCTAAAACAAAACAATACAAACAATTAGGCCAAAATACCCCCTAAAACAATACAATACAAGCAATTAGGCCAAAATACCCCCTAAAACAATACAATACAAACAATTAGGCCAAAATACCCCCTAAAACAATACAATACAAACAATAAGGCCAAAATACCCCCTAAAACAATACAATACAAACAATTAGGCCAAAATACCCCCTAAAACAATACAATACAAACAATTAGGCCAAAATACCCCCTAAAACAATACAATACAAACAATTAGGCCAAAATACCCCCTAAAACAATACAATACAAACAATTAGGCCAAAATACCCCCTAACCCAATACAATACAAACAATTAGGCCAAAATACCCCCTAAAACAATACAATGCAACCAATCTTATGCATAGTTATTATAGCTGTATACTTTGTGTAAAAATATGGATTTTGCATTATGTTAATATGTTCCTTTCTTTTAATGGTAGGTCCTTATGATTTAACAGTCTGTTTAACAGGGCTTAACAGATCATACCAAATCTTGCCTAGATAAAAGTTTTTGTTACATTTTTAGAATCCTTTTAGGCATTCCTATATTTTAACAAGTCTTTTTGCATTATAGAGCATGCATGAAAAAGAAAATGATGAATACTTAACAGAAAATTAACCCGCCTAGGCCTCATGTTATAATGCTACAAAAATATTACATACCTACTATTCCACCCACGTCAAACAAAGTAGAATAATCAGCAGCTACTTCAGGGTCAGTGTGCACTGAAACAATACACAAAATATAAAATATAAAAAAACATTTGTCAAAAATCACTCACTACAATTATGCTTACTACTGATACTCCGATATTATATATGTATACTTTAGAGAGTTCATTAAATACCTGGTTACTTTATTCTTCACTTTTAAAATATCCATATTCCCTCAGACATCTTTTATTTTGGCTCTTTTGCATTATCCAATCAGATTGCATGAACTGAGATTTTAATTTTACCACATTTTTTAAGAGAATTTCAAGATTTTGACATTTTAAAACTTCATGAGATATAATGGATTTTTTTTATACCTCATATTTTGTTCTTATAAATCTGCTTCTAGCTATTAACGTATCAGAAGTAAAGACTTACTTGTGTGTTTTATGTAACTAGGCAACCAGAACAGGAATGTATAGCTAACCAGTTTGGCAAAGAAAAGGCACAGAGCAAACTCTATAACACCCTGCAATAAAACATAAGAATATTACAAGACATTAACATGCAAAATGTCACGACCTGTCATTTGTTACAGACACTGACTGTCAAACACTGAATGCCAACGACTGAATGCCAAACACCACCCACAAAAAAATTGGGGACTATAACAAAATGTCACCACTTCTGATGGTGATATAATACACTGAGTACATGATCCTCTGTTATTTGACAATTTGGTGTTTATCCAAGCAGAGAGCACTTATATTGATACATCCATCAATGGGCATCTTTCCGTGACTTGATGAATCTGGACTAACTTGAGACAAATCCACATGTGTGATTAGGTCCTATATTATACCAATTTCAATTCAATTTTCAATTTCAAAGTAACTTTATTTCACTTTCACTTTTTACATAGGGGTGTATACATAACAGACATGGATCCCAAAGGGTAAATCACTTCTCACTTATTATTAGAGTGTATTACTACATGCTCTAATAAGATACTGGTGAGATCATATATAAATCTAAATCCAAAATTTTGAAAGAGTTTAGCTTTTGAAAAGGGTTGTGTCCTTTGAGTCATTTAAGGTTTATTCTTCGGATTCATGTACAACTGTTTTAATATGATATATTTTGTACAAATGTCAATGCAGTAGCCTGACGTTGGCAATTTATATGGATTAGAATTAGTTTTGTGCTTGTTTGTTCATATTGATCTTTTTAAAATTGCATGAATGCATCTCTTTTTATTAAGGGCAATAGATATATACATACATTCATTAGACAAGAAAACATTTTCAGTACATCCCCATTACTGCTAATGATTATCAATAAATAAAATGTATATTATTAACCTTTACAATTTTTAAAGCACTTGTATCATAAATGAATATATCAACTTACAGGTATTTTTAAAGCATTGAAAAAACTGATTGCTTTTTCCTTCTTCACGAGTCCTTGTTCACTGTTTACTAGCGGCTCTTCATCGTCATCATCAGCCTGTAATTCAAAAGTGTATTTAGGTTACTACTGGGCTTTGTAATTCAAAAGTGTGTAAAGCAATTCTAAAATTTGTTATTCAAAAAATTTAAAGTCTGTTTAGGAATGAGACTATGAAATTTTTACAAATATCTATTATGGTTTTTGGCAATCTATATATTTGAGTCAGTAGTGAAGGTATAGCCATGCATTGCAGTGTGTTAGCATGGAAGGTCCAAGAAGTGCAGTACTGTATGTAAATCTGGGAACTGTCTAGTTTGAATGGTTCATGGAATTAAAATCTTGAGACATAGCGATATGTTTGATCATGGGAATAGAGACCTAGGTTATAATTTAAGACAATTGGTAAACAAAAACAGGAAACAAGTTTTACATATTAATGAACATTCTATTATGATTTTCTTACATAATTTATCTAATAAAGCTTGGGAAATAAAAATGAGATGCATCAACTAAGTACCTGATAGGTAGCCTACAATGAAGATAAAGACTAGCTTGAGCTAATCTGCAATGTTATTTGATTTGATTTATAGGAGGGAAAAGTGAAAGTTTTTTTGAGGTTTGGGAATAGGTGCTTTTGGAATGTTATAAATAAATAGGAATATATACATATGTTTGGTTGGAAAATGGATGTATCTTAAATGTTTCACCTAATCCTTATAAATGAAATTCACAGTAATGCAGAAGTAAGTGACACTTAAAAAACATATACTTCCTAAGTGACATCTATAATTTAGTAGAGTGAATGCATTTACTAGTTCAGTATTCATAGTGACAAAGTGGGGTAAAGATTGACACATTCAAGAGATGAGTCAATATGTTCTGTAAGAACAAGAAACAAAAAGCTGAACTTTTGATCAAAATTCCCTCCTACCCCACCTAAGGATAAACAATGAATCATATGTGTTACTGTGGGTTTCATCTTAAATGTTTCACCCAATTCTTATAAATGAAATCTACCGTAATGCATAGATGATACTTAGAAAACATATATTTTCTATACTATTAATGCAATTTAGAGTATACGTATAATAAGCCTTAATATTGTTAAAACTTACATTTTGATTGAGAGACTCGTAATAGTGTTCACGCTGAAATCGAACACACAGTTTAGAAAATATTATGCAAAACACTGTCTTTAACAAACTAGATTTCTTTATTCAATAAAGGTTTCCATGGACATAAATCCACCTACATCAGTAAGGATGAGAATTACAGCTATTATAGCTATTTAAATGCAAAAATGTGATCACATGATCAAAATAAGTGACCTTGACCCTAAGAGCAGACGACACCTACCTCAATATGATCTGGAGGGACCCTGTAATTATTTTCCTGAAAATAAAAAATGCATTAATTACTGAATAGAATTGTTCCCAAATGTAATTTAAACCTCATTGTAAGTACTCAGAAATTCTGTCGGGGATTAAAAGTTTCTAACTTAATGGTATTAATAAGAGATAAAATCTGATCATAATAAGAGTTTTTACTTATATGCCTGTAAATCCAATTTCATTTTCAAAATATTTCTTGTTTTCAGTCTTACCCAAATTTTATACCATTTAAAAATGATGATACTTTAACATCCTTGTGTAAGAACAATATTTTGTACAAGTCACATTTTTAGAAGTCTTCACTAACTGACATAGTAATGGAGAATTGAAAAAACGCAATGCACTTACCTCCCCGCCACTTTGATCTGGTAAATCACAGCCTATATCCTCTGGTTCTAAAACATAGAAACAGACATTAATTATGCATCTTCAAGGCTCCAAGCTTTTAGTGGTACACAACATTCGTAAGACATACCAGCTCAAAATGTCAAAGGCTACTGTAGTCATGCAACAAAAAACATGGATGTCTCAACAAAATGTTGTAGCGAGGCTTTGGGTGGGATGGGTATGGCACATAGAGGGTCTTAATGTAACTAGCCTAATGAAAGCATACAGCTAGTATACCAACACTCATAATAACCAGGTCAAAATATTTCTATTCTGAAAATTTTAAGTGGCACATGGCTCATGTCAAGAAGTGTAATAAAAGGCTCATAGCTAGTTGATGTACACCCATATACAGGATCTAGTGGGCCAAAAAAGAAAAGATTGAAGATTGGAAAATTGAAGAGGTTTTCCATAAATTATAAATATGCAACTAAAAACTATTATGTACATGGCATAGAAAAGACATACTCCACATTACTAAATATTACTTGGCATGCACTAACAGTACCATATATGGCACAAGAATTGAGGACTGAAATCACTTACTTGGCACTAAAAAGAAGAAGACTACAATTCCCATTGTAGATATGATAATCCCTGGCACAATGAATGAGAGTCCCCAATTGTCATTGACGAAGACCCCAGCTATCAATGAGCCAAGTATATTTCCCACTGAGGTATGTGAGTTCCAGACTCCCATTATAAAACCACGTCTGAAACAGAAGATCTTTATCAAAACATGTACATCCGAGTGAAATATGACAACAAAAGAATAAAATTTGATGAAATTAGAGTAAAAATTTCAAGACATTTTAGACAACCCTCGTATTTTAAGTTTTTCAATGATTAATGCAAAATACAGATAATAGGTGGCATGTTTTGGCATTTGGAGCACATTTTGTTTGGGATACCTTTTTAGGCCCCCCCTTAATTTTAGGTGGAAAATTAACATTCAGTCAGGGTCTAATAAAAAAACTATATTTCAAGTGTCAAACAAATAGATGAACTAATTCACTGCCTACTCTTAAAATCAGGTGACAAGAAAGTATTTTGGAGAAAAAATGACTCATTTAACCCTTTCAGTATATTCATTTCAGATTCACATCTATCAAAATGTTTGAAATTTCACATCTGTGAAGAGCTCAAGCATTAAAACTACAACAATCCTCTGTAAATTTTAAAGTATAACAATTTTTACAGAGCAGTGCATTATAGATGCTTTACGGCTTTTATTCTGCAAAAGTATGCTTGAAAGTATACAACAAGAAAATATTTGAAAAGGTTTGACCGCTTTATTCTTAAAAACGTCAAAATAACCAAAGATAAGGAAGTAAAGTTATAAAGTTCAAGAACTACTGTTAAGGTATAAATAGTTGATCAAAAGTAAAATTAAACTTTTAACAAAATGTTCATCATTCAAAAAAGGGAACAAAGTTTATCTCAGATAAGCTTGTTAAAATCAAGAACTGTGTTGTTCAAAAGAAATGACCTCAATCCATAAGCATTGTCACCATGGGGTAAAGTTACTACTATGTTGGTAAATATGTTTGAATCAAAAAGATTCAAAATGACAACAAAATACTGTTGATTACTTCACTCCTCTTCCAATTTTTCAAGAATTCAAAATTTCGCATTTTGCATCAAGATAAATTCACAACTTAAGAACTATATTATTGATCATTTGAAAATTACTAAAAAAAATAACACATTGGTAAATTAAACAAGTTTGATAATACGAGAATGTGAAGGTTTACTTTTTGTGCTATTTTCACTTAAATTCACTGTTAATTAAATAAATGTAAAACTATCAGCTTACCGGCCCTTGCCGAACCAATTTCCTACAACTGTTACAACACTGGGCCAGCCAGTGGACTGGAAAGCACCACATATAATCTGCAAGTAAATATAGAACACAAATATTCTATTTGGAATATCCACTAGTCAGTACTAATACTGGATGAGCGTGTTGTAAAAGTAGTTTTGGTATGGCTATATATGGCTTTCCTAGTACCCCCTTAAAATTACACCAAGGGGTAAAAATCTGCATATTTCCAAAATGCTAGACACCAATGTTTTCAGAATCAATGTAGAATAATAAACCACAAATAACCTACATGAAGAGAAATTTGCCATTTTTCAAAACCACTTTTACACCACGCTCATCTAGTATAAGAGAAGGTCACGCCCATTACCTTCTTTTTCTTTCAAAATGGCTGACAGTTAAGTGTTGATTTCGATATTTTTTGTTTTCATTGATTTAAACCAAGAATTAAAAAATCTGATAATTTCACCTCACCTGCATTGCAATGAAATATGTAAAACTGTGTATCTTCCAATATCTTGCAAACCCAAACATCATCGTGAAAATTCCGCTCAATAACATGCCGCCTGTCAGGAAATAGCGGAGATTGACTCTCTCCGCGATATGGCCACTGAAAGAAAAAAACAAGATAGATTTGCACATGTTTTTATTTTGGAGTCAATTTATAAACCAAAGTGAGCTTACAATATAGAGAAGGTGCTGTTTTAATTTTCTTTGGGCAAATGATCAATCCTAGAATTAATCGACACAGAAGTAGCCCAAAATCATTCAAAAACTGACAGTTTGAACTAATCCCCGTACCATTTTCTGCTGATTTGGAGAAGGGAAATCCTAACCTTAAAGGATAATTTAAACAAAATGGTTGGCAACTCAGACCATTTTATATTTAGGGCTAAAATCTGCCATGACTTATTGATGCTTTCTCCAAGACTGTATGAAACTGTACCTGAGAAACATGCCAACTGCATAAGCAAAGAGGTAGGCATAGTCCAGGCTACCAAGCATTTCCTCGTAACTTTTGCCATCTGAAATAATACAAATATGTTATTTTACTTTTATTGGAAATGAATCAAACATTTTACATAGAAGTTCTATGTTAATTATCAATCTGTTGACATTTCATTTTATACCATGATCACTATGACTTTAGGTATATGGTGTAATTTTGTCTAATCTGATCACCGCTGGGACCAAACAAAATTGAACAAAAAGTTGAAACAGAAAAAAGTAAAGACATCAGTAAAGACACCGTAGCCAGGGGGTGTTTGCAGGGTTCGATGAACCCCCCCCCCCCCCATGGCCAAAATTTCTTTCAAAATCATGCAGTTTTTCACCATTTTGAGCACTTGAAGTAATTGTCAGATGTGAACCCCCCTGGGAATTTTGGAAACTCCGCCTTGGCAAATCCTGGCTACGGGCCTGAACATGCCATTCAATAATTATGAAGTCCATATAATAGGTTCTAATCTGAGACCCAGATGCTAGCATTAAAATACTTAAATTCTGTATATGAATCTCTCTTTTAGAGATACAAGCATTAAATAAAAAAGGTTAACCAAAAGGAGTCAAGTGTCTGAATAGGTTCAAGTGATGATCACTTCACATTGGTTACAGTGTACCTGTTAATGTGTTCAAAAATAAGTTATAGAAATACATGAGTGTAGTATTAATTGCTTTTACATAAATACTTACATAAATACTTACATAAATACTTATATATACTGATACATGACACACTGAATTATATATGAAAAACCATTTTATTTCCTTCTTTTTTAAGTCTGGAGATCATGTAGTCTATTTTCTCAACAGCCTGTATGTACCCCCCTCCCATCCCTCACCGTACACAGTATATACGAAAGAAGGAGTAAAGGGAATGGGGTCTTGGTGTCTTGACAATGTTGAGAAAACACATATTAGGCCCGATTGATTACTTACCGAAAGGTGCATATCCACAGTCAGTTGTGATGTTCTCGATATGATTTTTGGTGACATTTATTGGCCTAGCTGTTGAGCAGTTCTTGTGCAATACTGGCTGAAGTTGTAGAAAATAATTATTAATATTTTCTAAAACAAACTATTAATCAAGTAAATACAGAAACAAACATATTTGATGAAGACACACCTTTGATTAACAAATAATGCAATTTCTAGTTTTACATCATTTACTAAGATCTGAGTATTCATAATGTAGGCCTATTGATTCGCTGGTCAGTGACATGTTTAAAATTGTCTTAAATATTGTCCATTTACAGAAAATTGGTGGTTGATTTGATTTTATTTGAAGTGAGTGCAAGCTTTTTTCTATGAGAGCAAATCAGTCGAGAGCACTTTCACATTTCTAAATAATATTTAATCTCTAAGCTCTCAGGTCCTTCACATTATGGGACGCGTGCTTACAATTATCTTCTATGATTATGACTTCATCAAACATCATATTCATAAAAATATGATATAAATTATATGAACAACAGGTAACATTTGAAAATAAAGCTGAGGCAAGGCAACATGACAAAATTTCACCACCTTGTAAGTTATTGCAAATTGTTACAGACACCAAATGCAAATTGTTACAGACACCAAATGCAAATTGTTACAGACACCAAATGCAAATTGTTACAGACACCAAATGAAAATTGTTACAGACACCAAATGAAAATTGTTAGACACCAAATGAAAATTGTTACAGACACCAAATGCAAATTGTTACAGATGCCTAATGCAAATTGTTACAGACACCAAATGCAAATTGTTACAGACACCAAATGCAAATTGTTACAGACACCAAATGCAAATTGTTACAGACACCAAATGCAAATTGTTACAGACGCCTAATGCAAATTGTTACAGACACCAAATGAAAATTGTTACAGACACCAAATGAAAATTGTTACAGACACCAAATGAAAATTGTTACAGACGCCGAACTCCAAACACTGACCACCAAACTCTGTCTCCAAAAAACTTGGAGACAATAACAATATATTCCACCACCTGGTGGTGACATAAAAACCTCTCAAACCATACAAATCATTTACTTACCTTGACAACACTGATGGGCTTTCTGGACAAATGGTAGCTTGTATATGCAAAGAACGTCAATATGAGCATAAAAAACTTGTATCTGAAAAATATAAAAATACAAAGTTAGATCCTATGCTTATATTGTGTACATGGTCCTATTTTATCTGGATACAGTGGTAAAGATACAGAAAAGGCAGCTTAATGCAACATAATAAAAGTGCATGCACTTTTATCTTAAAGAGCAACATAAGAGAATCATTCAAGATCATTTGGGTGCCAATAATGCTAATAGCCTTGGCCTTCCACAATTTTTGTAATCAATTTTATAGTTTATTTTGCAAAAAACAATCCACCTATCAAAAAATCATTTTTTTCTCTTAATTATCTAATATAGATAAGACAAAATGAAAGTTTTTCTTTTGCTCATCAAATGTTTAGAACATCATAATTATAGTGAACATTTTGCTGATAATTTGATAATTCACTTTTTTCAATATTTCAAGAAAAGGTAACCACAATTTAAATATCTAAACCTGTGGCGCTTTTCTTCAGATCTTAACTTCCTATGTACATCCAAATTTGTCTGTTTTGGCAGTCCATCCAGTGGAGGTTTTTCAGCGAGAACATTCTCAGGGATTTTTTCTGAGAATTCCGCAAATGTTCCATATAAGGTTTGATTGTTCCTACATTGCGTTATAGTATCATTAGCAATCACTACCACTATTGTATTATCAACAACGTCTTTTCCAAGTCCTAAATTTTTCTTAACATTTAACATTTTAGCTAGGATACCGCAAGATACCCTAGCACAATCCAAAACCAACTGGTTAAAAGTCTTAAAAATTAAACTCCAAAAATTTGCCACTGAAGGCAAATCTGTTGACGCTAATTGACGAGATTCCTGAATTTCAGTTAATTCCTTTTTTTAGTAAAATCTTCTGCAATCACTATCAATTCTTCGCTAACTTACCACTTTCAAAGTAATGTTTGATAATAAACAAATCGCGGGCAAACAAAGAAATCCAAAACTGTGTTCACCTATGCTAATCATAAACTTATATTAAAACATTAACCTTGCATAAGACCGCCTTGTTTAACACCTATAAATTAACCAAATAGCAATTTGAAAGTTTGGTCTTATGTAAGATAAGGCATAATAGCAATCATATATTAACCATGAGTGATTCCTTCAGTTTATTGGAATTCTATTAACAAGCATAAGTGATCTACATGTTAACACCTATTTGGCCTAAACTTTCCCAAAACTTTGTAAACTGATTAGGAATTATTTCCTGTTTGATTAAACAAAGGAATCCAAGAACAGATGCTCTAATAATCAATTCAGGTAAATCTGCATAATAAAAGTTTTCACGATTACATAAACGTTTTATATGATATTTATGGGTTATTGTAGAATACATGTCCATGTACTTCAAATTCCAAATATTTTGTTCAAATTTTACTTAAATTGCATATCTGAAATTTTCTTCTTATTCTTTTACAGACATTTTATATCATTTAATGATACATTCAAACTCTACAAACTACAGCTAAGACAATATACAATTATTGACCTCTCCAGAGGTTTACTGTCAAAATTATATCCCGAGACTGTAAACCGAGACCGTAGGTCGAGGTTTACAGTCGAGGGATATAATTTTGACAGTAAACCGAATGGAGAGGTCTATAATTGTTTTGTTAGTCCGAAGAATATCTTAGATTTTTCTGACCCTTGAAGTTGACTTGAAGTTGGATCCAGACCCTCGAGACATTCATGTTGTATTTCAGTATATCGGCAGTAAGTTCACTCAATGGAGTCAAATTACTCTCCTGGGCGAGTCCACTAAAAGCTTTGTACAAAGTTTTAGATTTTTCTTCGTATTTTGACTGTCTTTACTCTCTAAGAGACTAATAATATCCTCATCTTCAACATTTTTGAAACGTCTAGTGCTAGCGGCGGCCATTTTATCGTCTGATAATGACGTCATTTTGGTGAAATGCTGGGAATATTATTCACCGGCAATGCATTGCGCGGTGTACAGTATACAATTGTTGACCTCTCCAGAGGTCAACCGGCAAAATTGTATACCGAGACTGTAAACCGAGAAACTACTGTTGACAGAGACCGAAGGTCGAGGTCAACAGTGTTTCAAGGTTTACAGTCGAGGTATATGATTTCGACGGTTGACCGAATGGAGAGGTCTACAATTGTTTTGTTAGTCAGAAGAAACTAATAATACTCATATATACGACAGTCATCAATCATGGCCTCATTTCACAATCTTTTCTACGAACCTGCACGCCAGCAATAATTTTTAAGAAAATCTGAAGACAGTGGAAGCTAAACTCTCTGTTTCGGCACATAAGTGCGTACTCACTAGTAAATTAATGTTAATTTTGTGTTTCTATTTGTATTGTTGCTATACTCGTCGTGTAGAAAAGTCAAAATATCACTTTCATCAACGTGTACAAAATGTCCGACTACCATGTTTTTTCTGTAAACATTGTGACGTCATATTTCCCATAATTCACAAGTGTAGTACAGTAACATACGCGGTCAATAATATGATATCCCATGATGCACAAGTGATGTACAGGCAAAAATGTTGACCGCTAATTGACCAATCAGATGCGAGTATTTACACTGAGGTACTAACAATTAAAATTATTCACCGCTCGTTGACCAATCAAAATCGAGTATTTCAACTGAGGTACTAACAATATGAGTTATCAAACAGTGTCATGTACACATGCTTTAATAATAACATGGGCTTTCTAAAAAAGCCCATGATAAAAAGGAAAACATCCATAACCAATTAGGCTATACTTTCATCAACACTTGGCGCAATTCTGTATGATTCTTCTACTCAAAATTACCTTAAGGCGAAGTATAGACAAATACAATAGAAAAGTTTGTCTAGGTTACAAGTAACATTATTGTCAAACTGAAATTATTGTCAGCTGACATCTATGTATGTCATTTAGCACTAAACATACTCTGATTAATCACAGTCCATCTTTATCTAGTCTTGCTTCAAGGCCCTGAACCCCCCCCCCCATATCTATTGCTGTGGTTGAAGTAGAGGGAGAGGTCTTGAGGCAAGACTAATCTTTATCTAAGCTCTACTCTACTCTTCTCTAGAGAAAGCAAAGATTTGGGAACTTACAACTACAAAAATAGAAATTACAAAAAAAAATTGTTGTAAAATTTGTATATATGCCAAAAGGTAAAATGTAAATATATCAGTGAGTGATGCATCATTGTAACAATATTAATTTAATTTTTTGTATGAATGATATTTGAGCTTTGTTTAATGTAAAATTGCATAATATAAATGCTTGATTTAGGTTAATATTACTTTTTCATGTTCACTATTCATGTTATTTGCCAGACTTGGCAACATAAGTTCAGATCCATATACTGTAGTAAAAAGGTCATATAGGTAATTAGATTGAAAAGTGAAAATATTTTGCATGAACATCTGTGATACATAATTATAATACAAAAGAGATACATTGTTTTCCACAGCAATGCATAAACATTACGAGGCATTAACATGCAAAATATCACCATCTGCCATTTGTTACAGACAAATGACTGCCAACTGCCAAACACCATCCACAAAAATGTTGGAGACTATAAACAATATGTTACAAAATGTTACAAGTTCTGGTAAAGAGAATGTTGATTTTAAAAAAATCATATCAACAATTTTAGATTTTGCTTCATGAAATAGACTAGATGCAAGTAGAAATAATCTTGATTTACGTCATTAAATATTCAAAATATTCAAAGTGATGTCATATTTGAAATCTACATGTAAAAGCACATCTAGAGATATGGTTTCGAAAACTGTTCACCAACTTTGAAATTTAATTTTTGAAAACGTGACTTCTAGTTTGGGTTGATACTCCATAGACCAAATGTTACAAAAAAAATCACAAAAAGAGAAATATCTTTTCTTGTATTAGACAGATAACATTTTCTTTTACTGGACATATTTTAATTTGCATAACTATACATAAGGGTTATATGAAAATTGAACCACTAAAACTGGTGTAATTTAACTTAAAGGGAGCTTCCTACGTGTATTATACCAGCCATGCTATCTGACCGAATGGACCACCACCTGGTGCTGAAACTGGTAACTACCTACTCGCATCTGAATTATTACTTCATTTTACAACTATCAATTTTTGGACTCCTTCCCTTCCAGATAATAATCAGAGCCTAGTCAGCCTGATTACAATTTAGATAGATTTTTCAATCGATAATCTAGCAATTTAAAACTACATGACCCATTAAACAATGCATATGTAAGTGTTCTAATTAAATTACATGTATGTGGAAATTCACAGTGGAAAGAAAGATTAAATGCTGGTAGTTTGGGCTTAAACAGTAGGCAAATTTTACATGACATATGGTCATTTCCTACCATATTAAAATGATATGTAACAAAGAGAAAGAAATAAAGTTTATCTCAAAATAGGCCAGAAAGGCATATTTTGGGTCCCAAGTATAAAAATAAGGTCCTAAAAGATATTTTTGGCCAACTTTATGATTTTGCCGATTAAAATTTTTGATCAGCTGATCATAAAGTGCATGTACACAAACATACATATATACATGCTCAAGTCAACAGTGATAAAAAAGAACTTAACTCAAAACTTTAAAACACCTCTCAAGTCTTTTCCCTCCTCTTCATTTCTTATTTGCTAGCATTCTATATAATTTTAAATATTGACTACATGCCTGCATGCTGGATCACTTTATTCCTTGCTCTTTTGCTATTTTTAAACATTGATACCTTGTGATTTTGTTCATGGGCAGCTTAATCCCAACAGATAACCTACATACATAGTAACACATTAATACATATAGAGTGTACCTGTAAATTCATTTTCAATTTGTGTTTTAAAATATTCGTAATGTTTACCATACATAACAAAAATATCCCCACCTCTCTCCCTCGCTCACTATATCAGAACATAACATTAATTATACAGACGGTAGATGCAAAACAGCCCCGTAGCCAAAGGGGGTTCGATGGGTTCGAGCAAACCCTTCTCCCCCTAGGCAAAAATTCTTTCAAAATCATGCAGTTTTTTACCTTTCTGAGCACTTTTTAAGTGATTTTGGACCAAGATTGTCAAAAGTAAACCCCCCCTGGAATTTTTCAAAAAGTGAACCCCCTTGGCAAATCCTGGCTATGGGCCTGCAAAATAATATTTTAAAAAATCATTTAATTAGCAATTAAGCATATCATATCACAACATTATTCATGTATCTAGCCAGGCATCACCCCCCCCCCCCCCTCCCCTTCCTCAGATCAGTAGCCAGGCTAGGTTCAGGGTTCCTCATCCAAAGATTCTTTCAAAGACTGATTTTGGGTCAATACTGTCTAATTTGAACCTCCCTGAATTTTCTTTAAAACTACCCCCTCCCCCCCCCCCCCCCCGGCAAAAGCTGACTAAAGTGTGTCTCCCCCTTCCTATATATGATTATCATTAGTGCTTAGTGAAAAATGGTTTCACACAACTATATTTATAATATACATATATGTACAGAGAAGCATATCAGGACTTATCTGTTGAGTTGCCATTGACCCCCAGCTATCAGAAATCTGGTCACAAGATTTACAAAGTTTCACCTGTTATATCGCAATGTTTAACAATGCGTTGATAACTTAAATAAAAGATTTACTGTTATTATTAGAATACATGTACAGTATACCTGTATTATCTAACATGTACAATATTATATAGATCATGTATAATAGAAAACTTAAGTCAAGCTACAAGGCCATGTGAGCCCCCCCCCCCACCACTGTACATCTTCCCACAAGTATAAGAAGGCGTGTAGTCAAGGAGTGGGAGGGGTCACAGGGGCTTGTAGCTAGATAAGCATAAAGAAAATACTTCAAATTATACATAAATGACAGTTCATTCAAATTCACGAGCGCAACAGTAATGTTTTACATGGTGAGGTATAATACCATTTTAAACATGATGAG